ACGACGGACGACGGACGACGACGGACAAAAGGCGATCGCAATAGGTCACTTGAGACTTTGTCTCAGGTGACCTAATAAACTAATGGTACAACAAAATAATAACAAAATCAACATATTCCAGTTAATAGATATGAGTATGCCGGAATTGTCAGCTACGATTATGTGTATACCACATCGAAAAGGTACAAAAGAAAAATAACTGACTATGGTTCATTCTACGTAATATACACAAAAGTGATACCCTGTTATCAAGTTTTTAATTAGAGATCAACATTGTAATTACAATAATTGAACAATGACATTGTTTTTATTACATCCTCCCCTTACATATATCACATCCTATTCCTACTCCAGATCCTGTTCATACATACAGAACAAGGATTTCCTGGAGACACCCGTCCTCTTGACCAATTTATTACTTAGGTCGTAGTTGTGCATTTTTTTCTGAAGAAAACTATGATGCGGTAAGTACGTTATTATTTTTATTTTTTTACATATTCAAAAAATAATATTGTTCACAAGAAAATCGATTTTTGCATATATATCCGAAAAATAACAATGAATACTGAAAAATTGAATATTGCGTACTCAAAAATAGTTTAGCATCCCTCCAACGTTTTCCCACATGCTGAATTTTGTATTTGCAAAATAATGTTTGGAACGTATACTATATGATTTATGGGTATGCATGCACATGCATTTGTTTTAATGAGACTAACTTACCAAACCATAGTTGCTGAGAAAAAATCCGGGAAGTAGATTAGGAATATAATAACGACTGTCACTTCTACTTCTACTTCTAAATGGTACTGACCAACTTCAACAATTTGAAGATAAAATATCAGACGAGGAGTGAAACATGGAAAGAGATTGTTTTTAAAAGATACGAGATGGTCTAATTTGCGTTTGAAAGGTGACGGTAGAGGGCTGATTTGAATAATTCCGTTGTGGGGCTCGAAATAATGTCAGGTGGGAGTTTATTCGACTCGGGTATAGTTCGAGGGAAGAATGATGCCTTTCTGGTCTGGGTTTTTGAGTGGGGAATTTGATACGAAAACTGGTGGTTTGTTCGGGATTTTCTAACTGTAGGGATTAATCTGTCTGATTTTACGATAGCGACTTTCTGGTTTACAATGTTATGAAGCATGGTCAGACGTAGCTACGGGAACCGTAGCTTCTATGTCCGATTTTTTTATTGTCCGATAACAAGAAAAATAAAAAAAAAATAAAAAAATCGGACATAGAAGCTACGGTTCCCGCAGCTAGGTCAGACGAGCATCTCTACGTCTATCTGCTAGAGGGCGCAGCTTTAGGTGGTCCAACATTTCTGGACCACCTAAAGCTGCGCCCTCTGCGTCACAAACATCTCCCTAACACCATCGTAAACTCTACTATAGGTACATCTATTAACTATAGTCATTATTTTTAAAGTTCCTCCGTTTTCTATTTGTGTTTTCTTTTCAAAATATCCATGATTTAATTAACGCCTTTGATTAATCTCTTATTAAAACACTGCAAATTGTTGGATCGTAGTTGACCTACATTCTTCCAATAATATATGACTTTACATTAAGACGGATACCACATGTGGTGAGAGAAACGGCTATTTTTCCAGAACACCACATTTCGTTTGTTTCCAGAATACCACATTTTGTTTGTGACTTTTCGAACGAGTCCTTTTTTTTGCATTTATCTTTGTCAGTAGTATGTTTTTTTCGATACTATTTTAAAATTGTCACAATAGAACTGCAAAGTTTTGCTTCACAACAGACATGCAACTATACTGCAGTCCTTTTTCTTATATCCAGACATATATTGCAGCAGTCCCTAATGTGATAACATCCATTATGACGTCATGATAAAAGACACCTGACATAAGCAGACGGCAGTGTTGAAGACATATAACTATCCTCAAAGACAAACATATTTGTTCGTAAATATTTGCATACATTACAGTTTGTTCGGTAATACCGTTTCCATTTCAAATGAGATTTTATTACAAACTTACTAATAAATACAGGTTTTTTGTATATGCGATATGACACAATTGGTCTAACCCATATCAGCCCCCGCCGTATCACACCCCAAAAGCCGTATCAGCCCGCAAAACCCGTATCATACCCGTTTTGGAAATTTTTCGTTTTTCAATATTTCAAAAGAAAAATAGATCATCAGATGAGTAGCTGTTATTAGTAAGTATGTAATAAACAGAATAAAACAGGCCTTTTTCCATATCACACCCAGTATCAACCCTCCACCAATAATGCAGTCTCGTGTTGATACTGGGTGTGATATGGAAAAAGACATGTATTATTCTCTATGTATTTAACCCTTTCACCCCTATGTAACTTTAGTAGACTCTACCATGCATTGATATGGAGGGGTCCAGTATGGTCTACAGTGGTGAATGGGTTAACTTGTCCCTAAGATTTTCTCCTTTTTTTTGCTTTACTTATAGACTTGTTTCCTTAAATCTCATATGAAAAAGAAACTTGCTCGAAATCGTTTAAGTATTGCATGTATATTATACATTCTGCAGATCTACATTTCTGTTGACACACTTAAGGTTTAAAAAATTAAACTAAAACTTAACAAAAAGATATAAAAATGATGACATACAAAATGGTAAAACAATCTTCCTATATCAAGGTTATTATGACGATATAATATACTGGTAATGGTAAACATACAGCCGATGCTGCCATTTCGGCACTCACAGCTAGCATTCAACAATTCTAGCACTGCTCAACCACATACTCATTTACAGCTGAGTAGACTGTAACAAGCGGTGTAAAGTATTTTGTTCAAAGATACATTAACACAGTACCGTGACATGACTCGAACCTGCAACCCTTCGGTCACGACCCCGGTATATTAGTTATGTAAGTGATAAGTCCCTGTTTCTACTACCTTTGACACATATCATTAACTTCATCATAACATTTTGTGGGTACTTTTTTTTTTTTTATGGAAGCCCAGTTTCATCTAACAAAAGTCTTCTTTTGCATTTAAAACCATAAAACAAACATCTCTCCAGCACGAAAATGATGAGCTAGCAACAAAGTCACTTTGAGGCTGACATTGACTTCAGTTGTCTTTCAAAAAAGTTGAAGTTTTAGTGTTTTTGCTGCGATAGCTAAATTGAAATCTTTTGCAAAATTTGTATCACTGCTTTGCACCGTTACTATGGGCAATTAACAACAATAGAAATATTCGTAAATATATTCGTTTTTGCGACAGATGCCACCTGACTGATTGAGAGTATGGTTGTATACAGTGTTACAGGAGTACAACAGCTAACTGGCACTTTTATCTGCCAACACAATCACTCCACGTGCCCTGACCAGTAGGGTGTGAAGTCAATGCCGTGTACCTCCGCCATCATTTGGAAATATCTGTAATAAAAAGTCCACATATTAATATTATGACATAGAATGACATTATCTTGCCTATATTTTTACTACCAAAATTTTTCGCCTATAGTGCACACTTTTTTTAGTGGAAAATGGTAAAATCAAGACAAGGGTACACTCTATACACAAGAACAGTCCAAAACCAAATCTGGTTCGGGACTATATATTTATCGTATATTTTTCTGGGATTTTCGGATATATTTTGATATATAGTTTCAAGAAATCATGCCCTTATCAAAACACCCTATATAGAGCTATGATAGTGGGCCTGCATGTTGCTGGGGTAAAAGGCTGTTACACTTTGTTCCAATAGATGACCTTGACCCATGACCACATTCAAAGTAGTAATAATCCAAATTCATAATACTCCGTCTATAGATTACTTGAGTAAATGGTAATTCTAAACTATTCAGGGCCATTTATAATCTACATAACACTGGTAACTCTCTCAGTCAAAAGTCATCAAATATATTAAAATATTACATCAGCTTGTTCTTAGGAACCAGGTGATCTGGATGAATGATATTTCCGTGTCACTGACTGGGTAAATCGCTCAAATCTTTGTTAACCCTTTCACCACTGTGGACCATAATGGACTCCTCCAGATCAATGTATGTAAGAGATTACTAAAGTAATGAAGGGGTGAAAGGGTTAAAATACATTACTTGATCCTCATTTATAGTTACAGGAATCCTGTCCCAAAACCCCAAACAAGTTCTTTCAAAGAAGTATGAAGCCTGTAGTCATGAGCTTGGGATGAATGGCTAACAAGATTGTCTAATAAATTGTTTTATAACCATAAAAGGTAGAAGAAGTCAAATGTGCTGATTTTTTCAACATTTCAGCATTATATTTTGCCAACACATTGACCCTCTTGTTGTATATGAACATTTACAACTACTAGTACTATTGTCATCAGGAAGAAAACTAATACCCTCCGCAGATACTGTTAGTTTATACATCATTTAGTGGCTTTGACCTTGGGGTCAACTTTCTGAAATGGGAACTCGTTCGAGGTATTTTGGCTGTTTACATATATGCGAAGTTTCATCAATATGATCATCAATGCAGACTAGGAGAAGTTGTGCGGACAAGTGCTTAGCACAAGGGCCATAACTATATCACGAAGTGTTGAAATCAAACATTAAAATGCCGATGAACAACTACAGGTACATTAAACATGTATCCTTCCAGCAAAGTTTCAATAAAATCTGCCTGTCAGATAAGACAGAGTTTTCTTGACAATATATTCCACATAAAGGACCGTGACTCCCTTAAAAAGTGTTGAAATCTGAAATTAAAAGTGTCGGTGCACACCTACATAATATACTGATCATTCAAGTGAAGTTTCAATAAAATCTGCCTGTTAGTTAAGATGGAGTTTTCCAGACAAGTTCCTGAGGACGACAGACAGACATCCAGAGGGATTCAAGTATACCCACCCCCACTAACTTCATTGTGGAGGGTATAATTATATCACTGACAATAACATACCTGTCAATTATTGCCTCCAGCCATTCCTTGTGTTTGAGTTTCTGTGTCCAGCAGGAAGGTATTGTTCCCACACCATATTTACAGCCCAATAGTGCTCCGGCTACACAAGCGTTTGAGTCAGCATCCCCTCCCTGCAAATAATAATTTGACAGTGAATTGTTTTTAAATGCTGTGATAGTATTACAGTGTTCTTCTGTTAATACCATGTGTCATATGGTAGAAAAATGTGACATTAAGTGAACCATGATATTAATTGAAATGTGACATTAAGTGAACTGTGATATTAAGTGAACTGTGACATTAAGTAAAATGTGACATTAAGTGAGAACTGTGATATTAAGTGAACTGTGACATTAAGTGAAATGTGACACTAAGTGCCTTTGATGATTAACTGTTTTTACATCAAATTGTGGTATAATAATGGACCTTTAAGACCATTATACATGAAGATGATAATAGGTTTCATTTCACAAGCCTATATAGGTCATTTTTATATGTAATGTTTGTAAACACGTTTGTAACACATATCTATATAAAATATCCTGATATAAAAAATAACATACAATATATCGGTACAGATAAATGGTGTTTTAGAAAATCATGACATAAACCAAGTTGGGACAGTAGAATTCTCTCCATGTAATATGAAATTTTCTAATACAAGAATACTTTTGTTTTCACTAATTTATGCAAATGTTAACTGTTTGCATGTCAGTATTTTTTTCATTTACACCCAAATAACAATTAAACAATTCTGTCAAACTGGATTGTGCTGTAACATACCTCCATCACAATTTTGGTAATTGCCTCCCTGAAGTTTTTCTGCTTTAAAGCCCAGAAAGCTGACCCCATGGACTTGTAGGTGTAACCAATTTTTCCAGCTTCGTCTAGTTTTAATTCCTTCAGCTTTTTACATTTTAGATATGTCTTTAGTTCCTTTTTCTGTAATAAATCAAAACACAAGTCTAACTTCTGAAAATGGCTTCATTAAACAAGAGGCCCATGGGCCTTAACGGTCACCTGATATATTCATACAGAGAGTTGATTTTTGTTTTTAACATGAACAGAAATATTATTCAAAGTGACAAAAAACAATAAAACCACCTTATTCAATATCTAGCATGCAGATTTAAGACTGAAAAGTATTTGAAACTAGCACCTCTGATTCTAAACAAGGAAAATGAAGAAATTTTACACATGATAAATTTTATTTTAGCACACAGACTCCATTGGGTCCCACCCCTTAGGGGTAGGGATGGCTCAAAATTTACAAAGTATCATACTGTCAACTTAGGGTTATAATTCCAATCAAGATATCAACATGTAATATTCAAAGTAGCATTTGCCATTATAAACCATAACAAATCCCCCCCCCCTTCCCCAGGGGGAAACGCGAGACCCCAGGGTCATGAAATTCACAATTTTGGTAAAGCACCTTAAGACCCTTCCATCTATGAAGAGTATTTGATTCTA